AATGTTGTAATACCAAGCATCCAGTATTAGCATAAAATGAACTGATGACAAAGATGTATTTGTAAAGTCCGAAGCAAATGTTGTCTTCATACAATCAATGCAACTTGATTGTAAGTGAATACACCATTCTCCTACCAGTAAAGATGTACGAAGTGAATACACCATTCTCCTACCAGTAAAGATGTACGAAGTGCGATGAGAGTGGATGCTTATGAGCCGCTACAAGAGACCCGTTATACATTCAACATATCACCTACGAACGAGTACCGGAGAACTACATCAAATGCAAATACCTACAAAATGATGTTGGAAACTCTATCATGCATTCAGTGTGCGGTTCACAAGCAAAATATAAGGGGTTTATGCCAAGCATGAACATCTATAAGTTACTATAGAAGACCCATTAATTATCCTAAAAATACCTAGTACATGCACTATAATATGCATGCATATAGGTACACAGAAGGGCATGTATAACCACACTACCCGTATGAGCCCTGATGAGCGTGATATGGATACACACGTGATGTATAGGGATGCTGCGTGGGTCAATAAATGAATCCAAGTTTGTGCCTGATCCTTCTGTTTGGACAGATATGAGTCGACACAGCTTGAACTACCAAATAAATATATGTTCGCAGTATCGACCGGAATATTTGTTTTATCTTGAACTCGATCCTCTATCGGTGACTAATAGAGATAAACAAAGACAGATTATAGTAGATTGCTTCTGTTCAGAGGTTAAGAAATCAAATCAGAGGATAGAGTTTGTTGTCCGGTGGCTGTAACTTATAGTGAAGGGAAAGCCAGTCTTAAATTGTTGTTAACAGTAATCGCGAGAGAGAAATTCTAAAACTGTTAACCGTCTACAGCTAGGAATATTACAAGTGAAAGTCATTTATGACATGAAAAAAATACTTGACGTATATTTAATTGATTACTTGTGCATTTCCCTACCGCTGTTTTCCTGTTGGAGACAGTTATAAGGATGGAGCTAGCTTGGCTGCTTTGAACATGTTAGTTCCATCACAACCAAAAATTCATATGTTTATGGTGATGATGATACATGACCAGTGAAAATGAATATGGCATTGAAGGATTGCTACAAATATGTTTTGACTTCACCATGTCTTTAAAGAAGCAAGATGAGGGACATGGATAGGTGCTGGATCTAGTTATGTTAACTATTTGTATAATCACAGCTTTAGAAACAAATCTCTACAGACCTGTTGAACTTGAAAACAATATATTGGACCCATTGTGCAGTACATTGCATCATTGAGTTTTAGAGGATAATGCTTAGGAAATGTAACAATAAGCACACAATTCTGCAAGCTCAAAGCTAATGGGATTTATTGAGAGTCGGTATTATGTTATAGCAATCACGAGAAAATTTACTAGTCAAGGCAAACTGGCCAGATTAGCTTTCATATGGTTTATTTGCCATTTTATCCCACTTTTATTTATGAGCATAATATTGTTGGAGAATGGTTATATTTGCGACGTAGTGAAAATGTTTAGTTGCTTAGTACAAAGATGAAGAGACGACATAAAATTTTAAGTACTTGGAGAAGCGTTTTTGGGAGCAATTATGGCATTTCTTCGTTTGGCATCTCTCTTTTTGAACTTTATGATTCCTCATTTTTTTGACATTGAAGTAATTTGCAAGTTATTGATCGTAGTTTTTCATAAACAATAGAGATCGGCCTCAAATATCAATCCCAAAATGTTGTTGTCACCAAGCTAATTTTTAAATAAGATAGGTGATTTTGATCACCTGAAGGCAGCATGTATTAGATGTTACTTTGTTGGTATTTTGAATCCAATGATTCCCTGATAAGTATTCTCTAAAGTGGTGCGTAAATATTTTGATCACCTCGTAATTATTATTTAAATGATGCTAGCATGAATTATATCATATTAGGATAAATTAGATCTTTGGTCCAATAAAATAGATGGAGCCTTGGGCTTGCTTGCTTTAAGGTCTGGTTTGGGCTTGTCAACAAATGTTGGGTTTTAGGCTCTATTAAATAATTTGTTGAGCCTGCCTTTTTTTTTTTTTGAGAAGACACACGTTGCATTAAAATAAAACTATTACAAACTAATGGCAATCCTTTAAAAACAAGGAAGCCTTATTTAAACGGAAAACAAGCACAAGAATCATATTTGAAGGATATGAAATTTTTTAAAGAAAATAAGATTTTCTACTCTTTATTTTAAACCAATTGGAGTGGAGGGGATACTAAAAATTAAACAACCAAAAAGGTTTATTAGTATTTCAGAATTTTCGATTAAGTAAAAAATAAAGAGTAGAAAGTTTCTTAAATTTATTTATTCTATCCCTATCTTTCAAATACTCATTCATGCTTATTTTTAAACTAAGACAAAAATAAAAATAACAACTAATAAAAAAAGGAAAAACATGTAGACAAGACCCTATAGTCTTTGGAGAATACTGGATCTTCACAAATTTCACTTTCTTCATGAAAACAATGCTTTGATTTCCAATGCATCAACCAACAAGCTCAATAGATTTATAAAATAAGACCTCCCATTGAAAGATAGCACCATTGTTAGAATAGCTAATCACAACCACCCGCAGAAAGCTAACCTCCTCCGAGACTTTATCACATCTATTTTGGTACCTACCGTCAACACTCTTCATAAACTCATTTATGATTTGAATGGTGAATATCCACCTTCACTTTCACCAAGATTTTCCAATTTCTTTCCTCTAAGACTTCCTTTGATAGGCCCAAAAGAATTGAAATCTTTATTTCACTTCTTCTTATGATGAACTGATTTAGGTGGCAAATGAAATTTACCATCCTCAATCAAACATTCCTTAGCATTGACATTACGTCCTCAGATTCTTAACTCAGATGATTCTTCTTCTGGAACAAAGAATCCAATGACCGATTTTAACAAAATTTATGTTCCAAGCTTCAAAGATATTGTTTCCAATTCTGTCTTGCCTAATGATTTGAGTAATGTTCGTGTTTGTGAAGAAGGTGATCTTGCAGGACAGACTGATAATGCTTCTCTTCCTAATATTCCAATTAATCCTTCCAGTAATTCTTCGGTTAAAGCTTGGGGGAAAAAAATCTAATATCAATGTTTCCAACTTAGATTTTGGAAAGGACTTCACTGGAGACAACAATGTTGTGAAATTAGACTTCGGTTTGGAAGCAGAGAACTCCAGTAAACTCAGTAAATCTTTGGTTATCAATGTTTTTGGAGAAAATTTACCCTTCCACATTATCAGTTTGGAGATCAGAAGATAATGGTCTCAGTATGGTAAATTTCATCTTATTATGCTTGGATTGGGATGGGTGCTATGTGCATTTGAAGAAGAAGATGCTTTAGATTTGGTTCTCTCGAATGGTCCATGGTATATTTGTAATAACATTATAGGGCTGGATAGATGGTCTCCCTCATTCTCTCCAAGTTCCTTAAAAGGCCTCTCAGCCCCGGTATGGATCAGAATGCCTAACTTGCCACTACAATGTTGGGACTCAATCAACATATGTAGAATAGCATCATTGATAGGAAAACCTTATATGATTGATCGTAATATGTTCCAATGGAGCAAGAGGGGATTTGCGAGAATTTGCATTCGAATAAAACTGGATGAAGCTCTTCCAATCGGAGTTTGGATGGAAGGATGTGCGGGTAAATTCTTTCAAAGAATAGAATATGAAAAACTCCCTATCTTTTGCTATAAGTGGAGTCTAAATGTCCTGTTATGAAAGCTAACCAATCTTCTGTAGAAGTCAAAATTCCTAAAAGTATCTCTGTTCCTTCAAATTTAGAAGACAACATAGCTGAAAATAATTCTGACCACGGGCCATGGATTCATGTGAACTTTAGAAGGAACAAAACTCTCCAAAAAGTTAAGAAAAACTTAACTGCTCAGGCGTCAGGTTTTGCTGGCAGAAACAACACTACTCAAATCTACAAGAAAGTATTTAAACCTACTGATAAAACTGTTATCAGTAATCCACCTGACAAAGGAGATATCCAAGAAGCTAAACCCACTCTTGTATCTACTCAAGATGTCTCTATTCATCAAGATATCGTCGATAATGACTCAGGTTTGAATTCTTTTATCCCATGTAATTCTAACAAATTCAAAGTGCTGAATGAAGGTCTTGAAGAAGGAGAGTTATCAATTCCTAAGAAAGATAAAGTCTTGCCTGATTTATCTATTTCCAATTCTTTGTCCAAGAATGCTGGATCTACTATTGAGAATGGCTCTAATGCTAAAAGGAAAGGACTTAAACAGCTCAAAAATTTAGGTCCTATCAATATTATTACAAGGAGTAGAAAATCTAAAAATGAAACTAGAGACAAAATGGGGATCATCCCCCCATTTTACAATGATGTCTTCTATCTGTTTCTGGAACTGTAGAGGAGCTCGGAAAAAAGAGCTTCTCTATACATCAAGGAGTTTGTGAAAGATAATGGTATCTTATTTTTGGCTTTACTTGAAACCAAAACTACTTCTTTTGATAGATTGGAAATTAACTCTTTAATTGGTGATGACTAGGACTATTTTCTAGTCCCTTCGGAAGGTCTATCTGGTGGGATCTTAATCTTATGGAGATCTATGTATGCTTCTTTCAAAGTATTGGAAACAAATCAACAATTTATAGTTGGAGATCTGGAGGTTTTCAACAAATGCATCTGGAGAATTGGTTCTATTTATGCCAATAAAGATGTCTATAAAAGGAGATCTCTTTGGGATAGATTGCAAATTTACTCCTGTTTAGATAAACCTATGGTGATTGGTGGTGATTTTAATTGCCTTCTCAATAAGGAAGATAAAAAAGGTGGTAAGAGATTCTTCTATTCCTTGGGTGCAAGAGAAATGGATCTTTTTTTTGGATTCCAATGACCTTCATGTAGTGGGTCGTGTTGGCCCCAAGTTCACTTGGTGCAACAATAAATCTGGTGTTGACAGAATTCTAGAACGATTGGATCGTTGTTATCTCAATTCTATGGCTCTTTGCTCCCCTTATCGTATATTGGTCAAGCACTTGGCTAGGTTAGCATCAGATCACTGCCCTATCCTACTCAACCTCTTTGAATGTAAAGCTGATTTCAAAAAACTGATACGTTTTGAAGACATTTGGATATCAAATCCAGCCTCTTCTGCATTGGTTAAGAAGGTTTGGATGAAGCACACAGCTGGAGATTATAGTCAAATCCTTAATCTGAAATTGAGAAAAACTTTGAAAGCTCTTTTTTACTGGAATAAGGAGAATAATATAAGTTTGCTTAACTCCAAAGAGATAATCCTTGGTGATATCCTGAAATTGCAAGATAGAGAATGCAAAGACGGTTTGTTATCAGATGAAGATTCATGGCTCCTTAAATCCAAAGTTTCTGAATATAATTATGTATTAGCCAAAATCAACACTTGGTGGAGACAAAGAGCTAAAATCAAATGGGCAACCCAAGGGGATAGCAATACAAAATTCTTTCACACTTTTGCAAGTGCTAGGAAGATTGCCAACTTCATCAATTATATTATTAATAACAACGGCCAGTTGGTTGAAGATCAACACCAAATTGAAGACTCTATAGTAAGTTTTTTTGAAAACAAATGGAGAGACAGGACTTGCAACTTTGATGGTTGGCCCAATCCAATATCTCAACTGAATGAAGAAGAAGCTTTCAGCCTCAATACAGAATTCAGCTTGATGGAATTGGAAACTATTTTCATGCAAGCAGGCAATTTCACAGCTCCTGGATTTGATGGTATCACATATTCCTTCTTTAAGGCATATTGAGACATTGTAAAGACTGACCTATGGAATGCTCTAAACCAATTTTTCAAAACTGGGATCATGAATTCTAATTGGAAAGATACTATTGTGGTACTCATCCCCAAGGTACAAAATCCTAAAACTCCTTTTACCTATAGACCAATTAGTCTTTGTAATGTGATTTATAAGATTGCTGCCAAAATTATAGTCAATAGACTATCTTCCATCATGTCTAAAATCATATCTATAGAACAAGCAGCTTTTCTGAAAAATAGATCCATGTCGATTCACATTCTGGTTGCACATGAAATTTTTCACAATTTCAAGTTTTATAAAGCCTCTAAGGGTTTGGTTTCCTTTAAATATGATATGGAGCAAGCTTTTGATTCAATGGGTTGGCCAACATTGGAAAAAGCATTGCTTTACTTCGGTTTTCCTCAATCTATATCCAATCTAATTCTTGAATGTGATGTCAAGTATCCCAAATTCTTAGTATTGATTAATGGGAATTATTCTAGATGGATTGAAGCCAAATGTGATTTTCGGCAATGATGCCCCCTATCCCCTTTCATTTTTATTCTGTGTTTAACTTCTTACCAATGCTTTTTATCAAAATGGAGAAGGTATTGGTGTCCGGATCAACAAAGAAAGCCCAAGAATCTCCCACTTGCTTTTTGCTGATGACATTATAGTCTTTTCTCAAGCCAATATCTCTTCAGTTAAGAAGATTAAGAGAATTATGGATAACTTCTGCTCTTGAACGGGCCTTAACATCAACAAAGATAAATCCTGTATCCTATTTGGAAAACACATTAGAAGAAGGAAGAAAAAACTTATATTCAGGATAGTAAGATTGAAGGCAATCAAAGAACTCTTTTACCTGCGTTCGAAAATTACTTTGAGAAGACTAATTGGAGAAGACTTTCAATGCATTATTGATAAAGCCATTAAAATGTCCAATATATGGGGTTCTAAACTTACTTCTCTGCCTGGAAGGATTCATTTGGCTAAAATTGCATTGCTTTCCTACTCTATCAATCATTGTACACATTCAATGATTCCTAAAAGTATATTGGACTTTTAGACAAAATCTGTACGAATATGATTTGGAACAAATCTAATGGTGAATCTGGCTTACATTATGTAAAATGGGATACTTTGTGCTTACCGGTTGAATTGGGAGGACGAGGTCTACACTCTTGCATAGATAAAGTTGGCCCTCTTAGAGCCAAACTTGCTTGGAGATATAATCAAGAAGAAGAGTCCATTCTACACAAATTTCTATTTCCAAAATATGGTCATATTTTTTGTTACAGATTCCAAAATACTTCAGGTTCCATTGCCTGGAAAATTATCAAAGATGGAGGTGCTTCACTTAAGCCAATTGTTAGATGGGAGATAGCTAATGGAAGACTTACAAATGTTTACAGTGACATTTGGATATTGGATAAAACACTAAACAAATGGCCTACATTTGTTAATTCTTTACTTCACGAAGATACCAATGTGGATAAATTAATCTCTGGTAATTTATGGAATTCTGCTGAACTTAATGCTTACTTCGGCAAAGAGTTGGTGGATCTGATTTGTTAAATTCCCATCAACTCTGATCTCCAAGCTGACAATATGGATCTTTTGTATAAATTCTCTGGAAAATCTATTTCCAAATTAGTTTTTGAAGCTTCACTTCAAGAATCCAACCATGTTACTTATTGGAAATGGATTAAAAGAGCCAAACTACTACCACGAGTCGAAGGATTTTGGAGGAGATTGTTCAACAAAGCAATACCAGCCTTTGATTTTCTTTGCTATAGAAGATTACTAACTCACAATGGCTGTCCTAGGAATTGTAATATGCATGAAGATGTTGAACATGTGATTTTCAAATGTTCTAAACTGGTAAGCATTTATCAAAATATGGAAAAATGTGGTTTCCTTATTCCTACATTCAACACTATGGAGGATTGCTTGGCTTGGATTTCTATTCAAAATTCCTGGACTATCAACTTGTTTTGCAATGTAATATACTTCTCTTGGAAAGGAAGGAACAAACTGGTTCACAAAGGAAAGGATTATTCATCTCTGTTTATTGCTTCCGAAGCTATCTGCCTAGCTTCTTACTCTGCTACCAACCATGGTTTTAAATCTAGTAAATGGGTTGCTAACCAGCATCACCTGCTGTTGAATAACCATTGGCATCCCCCTCCACTCGACTGGATAAAGGTTAATTTAGATGCTTCCTTGTTAAAAACTAACATAGGAGGAATTGGAGGCATTTTTCGGGACTGAAAAGGCCGTTTCCTATTGGCTTTTGGAAAATCCTGTACTCATTGGGATATCTCAAGACTTGAACTTTTAGCTATCCAAGCAATCAAAGGAGTCATCAAAGATTGGATGCATATCTACAAAGGAATTATTATTGAAAGTGACAACTACAACATCATTAAGCTTCTTCAATCGGTCCAATTTAGAGGTAATAATGGTTTGGACTTTGATTTTAGAACTGATTTCAATAACATTATTTTTAATTGTATTGATAGAAATTGCAATAAATTAGTGGATCTATGTGCTAATTATGCAATCTTTAGTTCCTTTATTTGGGAAGACTTAATGTTTCACAAGATTCCTTCCTTTTTTATTTCTATACTAAAGGAAGAATTTGTGGGCATTGGCTAGTTTTTTCTCCTTTTCCTTTCATAAATTTTAATGCATTGGATGCATTTTCCTCAACAACAACAAAAAAAAAGGACTCAAAGCATTTGTATCAGAACAAACCGATCCTTTAGATTTCAAACTTTTATTCTCAATATTCCTTGATTCCAAGTTGACCTTATTTTGATCATCTTTAAGAATCACTTATCGATTTTATTCCCTATCTTACCGCATTTGTAACAAAGACATGAGATCTTCTCATATTCAACATTTTGAAAGAATTTTCCATTTAAACCCTCAATCCAAATTCCATTGGATAATTTAGAGTCTAAATTTATACGAACACAAGCTCTAGCAAATTCACGTCTTCCCCATTTAAACATTTTTCCATCCAAGATCAATGGAACTCCTATCTTTAAAACGATATTCGTACATTAACCTCATCCCAACAATGCAAAGGTAAATGAGGCAATCTTATCCAAATTGATGAGGATAACCCTTTTAACGACGTTGGGGAGAATTGTGTTTATTAAAGATAAATGAGCCTTTAATAATTGTGTGTGTAAATGAGCCTTAATTAAATTGGTGAGGATAACACTTTTAACTTTTATCGCGTCATTAAAGGTAAATGAGCCTGCCTGCTTAGTTAGCAAAATTGTGTGTGTGAATAAATTTTTAAAAATAAATGTAAATATTATAAAATATGATGTTATAGATATTTAGTTATATGAATTAATAGTTTCAACAATAAATGTACTTGCTAATCATTTTAATAATAAGTTAGTTATTTATATAAAAATATATTTTAATTCTTTAAATGCTGAAAAATTATTTGTTAGTAGAATTAATAATTTGATAATAACAAACAAACTACATTTGAAAGCTTATTTTAATTTTTTTTTTCCGAATGTCATTTTATTATCATGCAAACACATTACGTTGAAAATATAAAATAAAAATAAAATGAATATAAATTACTTAAAAATTCATCTCTCATATAAATAAAATTAAGAAAAAAAATTACTCATACAATTCTTAATAAAAATCAACAAATGTGATTTTTAAAAAGATTGAAGGCATTAGCTATAATACGTCATCAAAAAATTATCTTGATCGGGCACCAATCTCAAGGCAAAATCTAGTTGGAAACTTCCGAAATTAAAATTGGAACCATATGAACTCTGATTTCAGTAAACTTATAGTCAAACTGAGCGTCTCGAAATACGAACCCAACGACACCAAATTTGGCTCGATCTAAGTCCTAATCGGTCCAAATCAAGGACCCGAAGCGCTGTTGGAAGGTTCGAACGACAATTTGGATTACCAAACGGTTTCCAAACATAACAAGCTTATACTCGAATCGAGCGGCTCGACGAGACGAATCTAATGAGCCCAAGATCACTGAATTCTGACATCACTAAGACATTTAAATGTCCATCAAACGGTTCATGATCAAAGGATTCGACATCGGCCATCCATCCAACCACTCCCAACTTACCCTCGATCCTCTACCTATTTACGGGCCATGCCATTCCCAAAATCTATAAATAGAGCTCCCTCTCCTCATGCAAAGGGACCCCTAAGCCTAAGAAAAAAAGAGAGAGATCATAGATTGCTCTTGCTTCCTTGCCCCTCGACCAACGCCGGAGTTTCGCCGGACCACCGCCGGAGTTCCGTCAAACCACTATTGGTTCACCACTGCCGGACCTTCGCCGAACCACCACTTGAGGCCCTCACCTCCGCCGGACCACAGCTTGATGTCGTTGCTCTGTCGGACCACCACTTGAGGCCCTCACTTTCACCGGACCACCGCCTGACGCTGTTGCTCTTTCGGACCACCACTTAAGTCCCTGTGCTCCACCAGGCCACCACTTGAGGCCCTCACCTCTGCCGGACCACCGTCTGACGTCGTTGCTCCGCCGGACCACCACTTGAGGCCCTTACTTCCGTCAGACCACCGCCTGACGCCGTTGCTCCTCCAGGCCACCACTTGAGGCCTTGTGCTCCACCAGGCCACCACCTGTGGCTTGGACTTCTGCCAGACCACCACTTGAGGCCCTCACCTTCGCCGGACCACCGCCTGACCCCGTTGCTCTGCCAGACCACCACTTGAGGCCTTGTGCTCCACCAGGCCATCACCTGTGGCTCAGACTTCTGCCGGACCACCACTTGAGGCCCTCACCTACGCCGGACTACTACCTGACGTCGTTGCTCCGCCAGACCACCACTTGAGACCTTGTGCTTCACCATGCCACCACCTGTGGTTCGAACTTCTACCGGACCACCACTTGAGGCCCTCACCTTCTTCGGACCACCGCCTAATGCCGTTGCTCTGCCGAACCACCACTTGAGGTCTTGTGCTCCACTAGGCCACCACTTGTGACACGGACTTCTGCTGGACCACTCCTTGAGGCTCGTACTTGTGCCGGACCACCACCTGAGGCCTGGGCTTCCGTCATACCACTACATGAGGCCTTGAGCTCCACCAGGCCACCACCTGACGCTCGGGCTTCGTCCGAGCCACCACTTGACACTGAGAGTTCTCCCGAAGTACCGCCCTCCTACTATCGTCTTTCTGACCTGTCTCCTGCCGATTACGCTCCTTCCAACCTCCGTCACTTACTATGATCATTCCAACCTCCATCAACAGACAACGATTTTTCTGACCTCAGTCTCCTGCCAACTACGATCTTTCAGACCTCCATCACCTACAATGACCCTTCTAGCCAAACAAACACGTCTATGTTGATTATTGTAACTCCCACCTTGTAATGCGCTCTATATGCCGTACATTTGTAACTTCAAGCCAAGGTCTTCTCCCTAAGAAGGGCCTCATTTGTAATCGACTGCAAATATTAGTAGATTCTTTTAAACTGGGCCAGACCCCGTGGTTTTTTTCCCCTTTTTTAGGGGTTTCCACGTAAAAACTCTGGTGTCTCTTATGAATGTTACACCCTCTCACTTATCTGATTGTGTGCTGGATCTTCGTACAATGCTAAGACATTAAACTATATATATTTCTCTATCGCCGCGAATACTCCAAGATGCAACAATAGCATTTAAGATTTTATTTGAGATAATTTTTTATCTTTTTAAAGAAATTTTATACTAAAAAGTTACTGTAGAAAGTAGTAAAAAAATTGTTCCAAATAAAATCTAAATATAGTATCAAGCCATTGTACTGTTTGAAGAATTTATTACTGAAAAGAAATCAAGGACTCAAATGAAGAGGCCATTAATGTAAGAATAACGGGTTAAACATCAAGATTTCCCTAAGTAGGATGACATGACTTCTTCAAATGACTTTTATTTCACCCAAATGATCTATAAATATCTTATTTGTTTATACTTTCAAGAATTACATAGCATAATAAGTATATATATATATATATATATTACGGATAGGAAATTGTGGCATGTCATAAACTTTATTCATCTTTAAATTCTTTCTTGAAAACCCACGGCCTATTGGCATGTTATTTAATACTTATTGGAATGTTAAAGATTACATCCGAAACCTTCAAAAAACAATAAAAATTGTACCATACATATTGATTTTACATTTAAGGACATAGCAATGGAGGTGGCATTTTATGACTTTCGCTATGGACTAAAAATTTATCTCACAAAACTTTATAGTTTTTTATTTTTGTACACCATGTTTACTATAATATAACATATAAAAATTATATAAGCTTATTTAATTGAGCATTGTAAAATTAGCAGGGATAATATTTATAGAAGGCAAACAATTTAACCATTATATTTCCTTGCAATTTTTATTATCAAAAGGGGCATCCAATACATAAAAATAAATATTTCCTTAAATATATGAAATTAATTTTTTTTTCTTGTGCTTGGAAACTTGTAATGGCCATCCCACATGAAGGTTGTTGCATCTTCATTATCAAGCCAATAGAAAACTTAAAAGACCTTTAGATTCATAAATATTTATGTAAGCCATAAAATTCAAGCTTATAATAATTTCAGTGATAATAAATAGCTCATAATATATTTTTTAATGACAATTTGTCCGCAACCATAATAACAAGCTCCCAATGACAATAAACTCATTAATTTTTATGATAATAATAAGCTTACATAAAGATTTATCAATAACATTTAATAATTAAAAATAAAAGCTCAAAAGCATCTTTCTTATAAAAATTTCCAAATTGCATTTTCAAGCCGCTCCACTTTCAAGTACTTAAAAAAAGCTCATGCTTATGTTCTTCATTACTACGCCCCATTTATAACTTTACCTTTTCTAAAATTTCCATTTAAAAAATCTTTCATATAAAAAATGTTATCCCCGACATGCTTTATTTTATTTTATTATTATTATTTTTTTGAGAAAAATAGGAGCAATCATATCCAATTTTATTTTAAAAAATGAAAAATTACAAATATTACAAAAGAAAAGTAAGAAAAAAAAAAAAACTTACAAAATAGAACCTAACAAGGAAAGAAAATACTACTAAAAAAGGAGAAAAGAAAAGAGAAGCCAAGAGCCAGAGGATCCTGCAAAATACTCCATTAAAAAAAGGTATCAAAAAGTCCCAAAAAGGACAAAAAGTAGCCTAAGGATAAAGAACATCCGAGCAATAAAAGAGCAATACCAAACACAAGAAGTTACGGCAGAGAGAACATATTTTACTTCGTCGATTGTATGTGAATTATGTATGATTCATGACCAAAACAAGCAAACTTCCTCTCACTACGAAGATGGCATATAGCACCTAAAATTAGTGGTAGTTTTATTTTCAATAACACAAAATGCTATAAGAGGAGTTAAGAATTTCCAACATTAATTATTTATCTGAAAGAATAATGACCAAATGGTGGTTATGGAATTTTACGACCTTTTATCAACTGTACAAATGAATTTATCATACACTTGAACAATTCGACCACTTACGAATCTAATTTGCTTTTTATTAGTTGACAATGTTTTTATCAGGGAATATAATACATTGGATTTGGTAGCTTAAAGGAACGGTTTCCAGTATTTGAACCCAGCAAGTCGCTCCATTGGTCGCCGGAGTTTCCGTGAATTCTGTAGCCATCTGCAACCATCTCTGACCTTTTCTCGGACTTGTACAGCATTGCGGATTTCCTTTCGTCACCCGTTCCCCTATGCGAAATAATGATAAGATTAATCTTTCATAGAATGCTTTAAGGAAAATCCTTCACAATCTAATCAATAAGATTATAGTATATTGCAAGGCAGTGTAGTTTGGCTGTATATCCTGATTTGTATAAATAAGAATTACCTATCGGGTACCAAACTCACCACAAGGAAAGTGAAAATAACAGTAGCAATATAATTACTCAAGGTTAATAATCAGCATAGTGATGTGGTGTCTCTATGATAAAAAAAAAAATGTTTTCACTCAGAACATATGAACCAAATTAAAAGGATCAGGATTGAATATACTACTATCTATGCTGAATATATCCATATGATCTTGAATCAGAAATTCAAAGTTGCTCTACCCTCAACTGAGACATTATTCTTCCTGTTCTACGGAACATCAATAATGCTGCAACAAATGCTTTCCTAATTATTTGGCGCATTGATAGTGGTAGTATACTGGTGACAAGAATTCTTCAAAATAAAGATAATGAATTTCTTCTTCAAGAGCGAATTCAATTCATAAAGAAAACTTAGAGAAGAAAATCATTTATATTACATCCAAATTTGTACATAGAAGACACATGACCTTGTTAACATACAAGACCAAGTCAACAGAGAAAACAAACTATTCATCTGTACTGTAGGTTTAGTTTATATCTGAGCCATTAGTGTATCTTATTTTGTGTATATATACCTTCGTGCATCTTCTGTTTGGTTTAAGGAAATTCCATTCCATTTGTTCCTCGTTTTCCCTGTTTGCCTTCTGCCTTCCTTTGTCTCTGTCAACATGGTATCAGAGCACTTCTTTTTTTTTCCTCTTTTCTCTCCTTGCAGATTCGTCATGGCTGAATCTTCAACCTCCCCACCAACCATGGATTCGTTGCTACCTTTTAATTCAATCAACATTCCACCGCAACTCAAATTCTTGATGAATAACATCAAGAATCTTGTCTCCAATCCTCTGACCTCCGACAACTACCCCATATGGCGGTCCCAAATTGAAAAATTATTTGCAGAAAATGGTTTCAAAGGATTTCTAGATGGTTCGGCCAAGTGTCCGATGCAAAACCTACCGGCCGACAACTCCAATGTTGTTCTTGGGTTGCCATCTAAAGCATGGCTTCTTCTTGATCAGAATCTTGCATGCATCCGCCTTACTGTCCATTATTTCAACATCTATTCTACCTTACATTCTTTCTCTCACGCATTGTGCGGACATATGGGCTACCTTAGCTCATCATCTACACGGTAACACATCATTCAATTAAAGAATGAGCTCCATCACCTCTCAAAAGGCGAACAATCCATGTCGCAGTACTTACGGTGAAATCCAAGGTAGATGCAATTACTGCCGCTGGAAGTTCAATCGATCTGGAAGACGTCATTCTGTACACATTGAATGAGCTCCCTGCTTCGTACCAAGCATTCAAGATTGCAATTCGCACAAATCTGCAACCCATAAATCTGGATGATCTTTATACACTTCTTTGTAGTGAGGAATTGAATCTTGTCCAAGAAGCATCTAAAGAACTCCAATCACTGCAAATCAATGATTCTACAGTGGCACTAGCAACTTCCCGAGGTCGAGAACATGAGCGAAATTCATCTACATGAGGACGACCTCCCAATTATCAGCAAAATGTCGTTTGTCCAACACGTCTAACCGAGGTGATTATCAATTTAATCGAACAATTATTTGCTAAATATGTAAAAAGCAAGGTCACTCAGCCATCAAATGTTGGTATAACAATGATCCAACTTATCAAGAAAACAAGCCAAAACAAGCATTTTTCAATCCGACTGAAACTTCACGATAATCCGACTGGTTTTTAGATAGTGGAGTGTCTACTCACCTAACATATGATCCCTCTCACTTTCAATCAACCGAACCATACATTGGCAATTCTCAAGTTACCTTAGGCAATGGCCAACCCTTACCCATTCAATACACAGGTAAAGGTCTTCTTCCTACAACATCAGGTAATCTTCAGCTGCATAACCTTTATCAAGTTCCCAATCTTTCGTTTAATCTATTATTTGTTCATCAATTAAGTCGTGACAATTCCTGTATTGTAACTTTCTCTTCAAATGGCTATCAAATCAAGGTTTTGAAGACCAATCAGGTTCTACTTCAAGGACCATGCCATAATGGTCTCTACTTGATTCGCTCCTCCGTTCAGCCCTCTACTCTTGCTTTACTCTTGGTTCAAACAATACCGGATCTTTCGCACAATCGGCTGGGACATCCGTACCCATATAAAATTCAATGTCATACTAGATTGCATCACACCATACGTACCAATATTCCTACAAAACATTGTAATACATATAATCTTGGTAAGAGTAGTCAGTTATTGTCACGACCCGGCCTGGCTAACCCGATTATATCGGGGCGGGAACAGTCGATTGTACGGAATAACATAATACATAACATATTTTCATTTAAAACTTAAGGTCAGAACATAAATATCATCCCAAAATACATGAAAGAGCCACTAATAAACTTCAAACTCAAATGTTACAAACTGAGCAACTGTCTCATAACCAATAAAACTTTCAAACCCATCAACATAACATAAACTTTCACAATTATAAAAAAAAACTCAAACTCACGAACTACAATGAAACAAACACAAAGACTCAAACTGAAAACACAAAAAGGAACCTTTCATCTTGAGGTCCCCTACGACGATACATATAAGGTCGTCGAGCAGCCATCACTTCTCTCCTGAAAAAGATTTTTAGAAGAAAAATGAGCCAACGCTCAGCAGGTAGTTCATGTCTTTAAATAAAAATTTTGCATAAAACCAAAATAAAGCAGTTTCGCATTAAAACAAGAAAGGATTGTCAACTTTGAATGATCTCATATCAGAACATAAAAAGAAATACTTTTCATAACCTTTCCTTAATGAAATATGCTTCCTTACCTTTTTCCTTAAACATAAATTTCATAATTTGAAAAGAACATATAGGAATCATATTATGCATAAAATTTTACAACACCCGTCTCGGATGTGCCCATAATTTGGTACTGATCTGGTACTCAGTCAAATTTGGCTATTTCCTTTACCATTGGCTCTACGAGCCTCCTTACCATTGACTTTACAAGCCACCTTTACCATTGGACACTCTGCATCAGCATGCACATTCATTTATTATAAAGTCTTTCATTCAAATGTACATGGAAAAACAAGTATGAAAATCATGTGCAACACATAAAACATTTAATCTCAACATATTTTGAAGCTTTTTAAATTCATGAAATAACAGTCTTGAATATTCATATTGCCATAAAAATGAAAAGTCATGAATTCAGGTCATAAGAAACTTTTTCAATCATTTGCAATAAAATACTTGAACGGAACAAAATCATGAAATTTTTATCAAAAACATGAGTACCTACCTCATCATGAAATTTTTATCAAAAACATGAGTACCTACCTCAAACAAAATACGACACGTCGCTTCGACACAAGTCTTCCACTCCACCCTTCAATAATCACTACCCAAGAAAGATTTACAAAAGAGACGTGTCATAAAACTAATTATCATATTCTTAAGTCTAAATCTTTATTTTCCCTTAATCATTTCATACAAAACTTAATGAATATTTAATTAAATTAATATAAATTTTCGGATTTAATTTAAATCTTAGAAATCCCTAAATCTTAAATTTTTGCTCAAAACTCTATTCTAACATTATTCCTAAACAATATTTAATAAATACTTAATTAATTTTCGGATTCAACTAATTATGGAAATTATAAAAAGTAAATTTGCATAAAAAATTCAATTTCATGCTTTCAAAACATTCCTAATATCCTTAGGAATAATTTTTCTAAAAACATCACTAAGGAATTAAAGTTTTCGTCAAAACCCTAACATTTAAATCTTAAAAAAAAATTCCTCAATTCACTTCTTTTTCATTGATAAAATAATCCTCTAAACATTTCTTAAAGATTTCATAAAGAAATTGCGAAAGAAAATCAAAATTTGGAAAAACCCTAGATTTTTCGATCTCAAATAACTTGAGATTTAGGAAGTTTCGTTCTAAAATAATCGTACCTGAGTGTTCCTCTCGTCGCCCTCTTCGATTTGACCTAAAAGTTTCGCCGGAAAATCGTCGCCAGAGCGCCCTCGCGGAAGCCGCTGTCCGCCCGATTGTCCGCCTCTCTTTGTTCGTTCCGCTCGATTTCACGTGAAAATGAATAGGAAAGGGTTCGATTTTTCTAATAAGAGGAATTGGGGTTTGCTAATTACTCGTATACCCTCATTTAAAGTAAATTTGGCCTTTTATTAGATTAGGGGTAAAGTTGATATTTTTAAGCTTCAAACATTTTTAATTCCTAAAATAGGCTAAATTAGGTATAAGTGTTATATACCAAAACGATCAGAATTTTGCAAGAGATTTTCTAAAATTATTTTCGTTAAATTTCGTTAACATTGAAAATCTTACTTAAAAATTTGTCGCGGCGCTTTAAAAAGCGTGCGAAGCCTAAAATAATATTTTGCGGGTTTTACAATTCTCCCTTATAAAAATTCCGTCCTCGAAATTTAAGACAAGCTTAGGAAAACATACCTTAGTAAAAAAGGTGAGGGTAAGTCTCCCTCATCTCTGATTTCTTCTCCCAAGTGGCATCCTTCTTAGAACTGTGCTTCCAAAGCACCTTAACAAAAGGAATCGCTCTGCTCCTTAACTGCTTAACCTCAAAGTCAAGAATCTTCTTTGGTTCGTTAACAAATGTCAAGTCAGGTTGAATGTCTATCACATCTGTACTAATCCTCTGAGCCTCATCTGAAATATATTTCCTTAAGGAGGAAATATGAAACACATTATGTACTCCACTCATGTGTCCTGGTAGAATCAACCTGTAGGCCACCTTTCCAATCCTTTCTGAAATCTCAAAAGGACCTACAAATCTTGGACTCAACTTTCCTACTTTGCCAAATCTCTTCACTCCCTTCATTGGACTGACTTTGAGAAATACAAACTCTCCAACATCAAACTCAACTGATCGGTGCTTGGGATCATAATATTTCTTCTGTCTGTCTTGCACTGCCCTCAATCTATCTCTGATCAATCTGATCTTTTTTGTAGCATCATCAACTAGATCAGCATCAATTATCTTCCTTTCTCCTATCTCAGCCCAATTTAAAGGTGTCCTACACCTTCTCCCATACAAAGCCTCATATGGAGCCATTCCGATACTTGCTTGGAAACTATTGTTATAAGCAAATTCAATCAAAGGTATATATGCCTCCCATTTACCACCAAAATCTAGAACACATAACCTGAGCAAATCTTCCAAGGTCTGGATGGTTCTTTCTGACTGCCCATCTGCCTGAGGGTGGAAAGCTGTGCTAAAGGTAAGTCTGGTACCCAAAGCTTCCTGAACTTTCTTCCAAAATCTGGAAGTAAATCTCCCATCTCGATCTGACACTATAGTCTTCGGTACCTCATGCAATCTGACAATTTGATCAACATACAGACTTGCCAATTTTTCAACAGGATCAGACTGTTTGATAGGTATAAAGTATGCAGACTTAGTCAACCTATCAATAATCACCCATAAAGTGTCACATCCTCTTCTGGATCTAGATAAACCAACCACGAAATCCATAGCAATGTCTTCCCATTTCCACTCTCGTATGGGTAAGGGTTGTAGATATCCTCCTGGCTTCTAATGTTCAGCCTTAACCATCTGACATGAAATACATTTCTCCACTGTATCTACTACACTTTTCTTCATTCCTGGCCACCAAAACACCTCCTTCAAATCCTGATACATCTTATTACTGTCTGGGTGAATGGTGTAACTGGAGTAGTGAGCTTCTTGAAGAACTTCTTTCCTCAAATCATCAACATCTGGAATGCACAATCTACCCTTATATCGAAGTAATCCTTCACCATCAAGTTCAAAATCTTCAATGTGACCCACACTAACCATATCAAGTATTTTCTTAAAATCTGCATCAAGTGGTAAAGCTTCTCGTACCCTTTCTGAAAATGTTGACATACTTGTAGTCTGATTCAACCTTATAATTTCTGCATCACTGGGCTGAACCACTGAAATCTCCAATTTCTCCAAATCCCTTATCAACTCCTGTTGCTGTGTAATCATCCAGTTTGCACTACCTGAATTCTTTCTGCTCAAAGCATCAACAACTACATTTGCTTTGCCCGGGTGATACTGAATATCCAACTCATAATCCTTAATGAGTTCTAGCCATCTCCTCTGCCTTAGATTCAATTCCTTCTGAGTGAAGATATACTTAAAACTCTGGTGGTCAGTAAAAACTTCGCACCGCACTCCGTACAAGTAATGCCTCCAGATCTTCAAGGCAAAAACTACTGCACCTAACTCCAGATCATGGGTTGGGTAGTTTCTTTCATGATTCTTCAATTGCCTAGAACCATAGGCAATGACTCTCCCATTCTGCATCAGTACACAACCCAACCCTTTATGTGAGGCATCACTGTAAAGATGAAACCCATCTGTCCCTGAGGGAATAGTCAGTACTGGAGCAGTTATCAAACACTGCTTCAACCTCTAAAAAGCTTCCTCACACTGAGCTGTCCAATCAAACTTCACTGCTTTTTGAGTCAATCTGGATAGTGGCATAGCTATATGTGAAAATCCCTCAACAAACCTCCTGTAGTAGCCTGCCAATCCCAAAAAGCTCCTAACCTCAATCACTGTAGCAGGTCTTGGTCAGTCTGCTATTGCTTGCACTTTATGCTGATCCACAGATATCTTTCCATCAGCAATCACATGCCCTAAAAATTTCACTCTTCAGCCAAAACTCACACTTGGAGAACTTAGCAAACAAGTCATTATCTTTTAAGGTATACAATACTGACCTTAAATGATTTGCATGCATTCTTTCATCTAGAGAGTAAACAAGTATGTCATCTATGAATACTATCACGAATAGATCTAAAGAAGGCTTAAAAATTCTATTCATGAGATCCATAAACACTGCAGGGGCATTTGTCAAACCAAAGGGCATTACTACAAACTCATAATTCCCATATCTGGTACTGAAAGCAGTCTTTGCAATATCCTCCTCTCTAACCCTGAGCTGGTGGTACCCTGACCTCAAATCAATCTTGGAAAACACTGAAGCACCTTCCAACTGATCAAACAAATCATCTATCCTTGGGAGAGAATACTTATTCTTCACTGTCAACTTATTCAACTCTCTGTAATCTATACAAAGCCTTAGGCTTCCATCCTTCTTCTTCACAAATAGTACAGGAGCACCCCAAGAAGAGGTACTAGGTCGGATGAAACCCTTCTCAAGCAACTCTTGCAGTTGCTCCTTCAACTCCTTAAGCTCCTTAATTGCCATCCTGTAAGGAGCCTTAGCAACAGGTTCAGCTCCTGCCACTAACTCAATAGAGAAATCTATTTCTCTACTTGGAGGCAAACTAGACAAATCATCTGAAAACACTTATGGAAATTCCTGAACAATTGGGATATCCTTCAGCTCTCTTTTCTCTTTCTTCTCTTCCTTAACATAGGCCAAGAAGCCTTCATACCCTTTCTTTAACATCTGAAAGGCCTTCAAGGATGACACAATCACTGCAGTTACTCTTCTATCTCCCTAAAATTTGAATTTCTCTCCTGACATACAGAATTTAACCTCCTTTTTTTTACAATCTATAGTCACGAAATGATAAGATAATCAATCCATGCCTAAGATTGCATCAAACTCAGATAGAGGTAAGATGATCAGATCAGCCTCAAAGTTCTTATCACAAATCCTCAACATCACTAGACATCTCTGCTTAGCTTCCAACTGATTTCTATTAGGCATCAAAATCGATAATGATTTAATCATAACTGTAGGAAGCAAATTAGCAGATCTAACAAACTCTTCTGAAACAAAAGAGTGTGACGCTCCAGTATCAAATAGGATTCTAACGGGTCTATCGCACATTAAGATTGTCCCTAAACATGAAAAGTTATATTATTCATTTACAAAACATGTCATTCATTGATTGTTCCTTTCATTTTCATTCATTGTTCATTTAAATTTCATAAAAAAAAATTTTATTGCAATTAATTAAATTACGCACCTGTAACCACATCAGGAGACCCTTTAGCTTCTTGCTGGGACAATCCATAGACTCGAGGCTGAACATTCTGACGAGTCTGACCTTGAGAAGGAATAGAAGCAGTAGACTCCACAGCTCTTGGTCTACCAGCTGTCCTCTGAGTGTTGTTGCCTGACCTCACCTCTGAAGCAAATCTCTGTCCCAAAAGAGGACAAGACTTCGCCATGTGCCTAGGCTGATGGCACCAGTAATAAGTATTAGTGCCTGAGAGGCACTCTCCCTTATGCGTTCTCCCACACTTACTGCACAAGGTAGCAGTTGAAGCACTGCTATCAAAACCACTGGATCAGGGTTTCTTCCAAGTAGAAACCCTTGACTGAGAAGACTGTGTCATTTGGGAAGGCTTTGACCTGCTCCATCTTTCTCTTCTGAAAATCCCTCATCTTCTGAGTTGCCAGCATGTCCATCTCAATCCTTCTGGCTCTTTCCACCAAATGAGATAATCCTCAATTTCAAAAGGCACAAGAGGCTGCCTTATCATGTCCTTTAACCCATTCAAAAAACGATTGCACTTCTCTTCAGCATTGGGTATCAGGTGTGGGGCATACTTGGATAACATCGTGATCTCTGCCTCGTACTGAGAAACAGATCGGTCTCCCTGAACCAATCTGTTGAACTTATCCTGCATATGTCTTCTGGCTGTCGCAGGCACATACCAATCTCTGAATGCCTTTACAAACTCCTCCCAGGAAACTTGGCTGCTTTGTCTTCCTCCAAAGGTTTCTTCTAACTGACTCCTCCACCATCTCTCAGCCTCGCCATCAAAAGCATAAACAGCCAGTGTAACTCACCTGTCCTCTAGGCAAGACATGCCCTTAAGGATCTTCTCAATCCGCATTAGCCAGTTCTCAGCTTCTATAGGTCCACCACTTGAGAACAATTGAGGCTTCATATCTTGAAACAGCTTCAGGCTCTTATCCATAGGTCGACCTCCACTTCCACTGCCACTGGCCTGATTTTGGGAAGTTCTAATCATCCGAGTCATCGCTTCCATCATCTGAGTGAATGACTTCATACTATTATTCCTTTGAAGTTTAGCTACTTCTGGTCTCCCTTCCTCCATATTAAATGCCATCAGTGGCATTATGCTCAGGATCCATACTCCTGAGATAAAACACATCAATCATAAGTCACAAATAATCAAAAATTACACTTCCTACACATTCTAAGACTCAATCAATCATTCTATAAGCTCTTTCATTGATCATTATTAAAACTTTGCTCTGATACTACTCTTGACACGACCCGGCCCGGCTAGCCCGATTATATCGGGGCGGGAACAATCGGTCGTACACGGAATACCATAATACATAACATATTTTCATTTAAAACTTAAGGTCAGAACATAAATATTATCCCAAAATACATGAAAGAGCAACTAATAAACTTCAAACTCAAATGTTACAAACTGATCAACTGTCTCATAACCAATAAAACTTTCAAACCCATCATCATAACATAAACTTTCATAATTATAAAAAAAAAACTCAAACTCACGAACTACAATGAAACAAACACAAAGACTCAAACTGAAAACACAACAAGGAACCTTTCATCTTGAGGTCCCCTACGACGATACATATAAGGTCGTCGAGCAGCCATCACTTCTCTTCTCAAAAAGATTTTAGAAGAAGAATGAGCCAACGCTCAGCAGGTAGCTCATGTCTTTAAATAAAATTTTTGCATAAAATCAAAATAAAGCAGTTTCGCATTAAAACAAAAAAGGATTGTCAACCTTGAATGATCTCATATCTTCAATCATTTGCATTAAAATACTAGAATGGAACAAAATCATGAAATTTTTATCAAAAACATGAGTACCTACCTCATCATGAAATTTTTATCAAAAACATGAGTACCTACCTCAAACCAAATACGACACGTCGCTTCGACACAAGTCTTTCACTCCACCCTTCAATAATCACTACCTAAGAAAGATTTACAAAAGAGACGTGTCATAAAACTAATTATCATATTCTTAAGTCTAAATCTTTATTTTCCCTTAATCAATTCATACAAAACTTAATGAATATTTAATTAAATTAATATAAATTTTCGGATTTAATTTAAATCTAAATTTTAGAAATCCCTAAATTTTAAATTTTTTATCAAAACTCTATTCTAACATTATTCCTAAACAATATTTAATAAATACTTAATTAATTTTCGGATTTAACTAATTATGGAAATTATAAAAAGTAATTTTGCATCAAAAATTCAATTTCATGCTTTCAAAACATTCCTAATATCCTTAGGAATAATTTTTGTAAAAACATCACTAATGAATTATAGTTTTCGTCAAAACCCTAACATTTAAATCTTAAAAAAAATTCCTCAATTCACTTCTTTTTCATTGCTAAAATAATCCTCTAAACATTTCTTAAAGATTTCATAAAGAAATTGCGAAAGAAAATCGAAATTTGGAAAAACCCTAGATTTTTCGATCTCAAATAACTTAGAGATTTAGGGAGTTTCGTTCTAAAATAATCGTACCTGAGTGTTCCTCTCGCCGCCCTCTTCGATTTGACCTAAAAGTTTCGCCGAAAAATATTCGCCAAAGCGCCAGAGCGCCCTCGCGGAAGCCGCCGTCTGTCCGACCGTCCGCCTCTCTTTGTTCGTTCCGCTCGATTTCACGTGAAAATGAATAGGGAAGGGTTCGGTTTTGCTAATAAGAGGAATTGGGGTTTGCTAATTACTCATATACCCTCACTTGTAAATTTGGCCTTTTATTAGATTAGGGGTAAAGTTGGTATTTTTAAGCTTCAAACATTTTTAATTCCTCAAATAGGCTAAATTAGGTATAAGTGTTATATACCAAAACGATCACAATTTCGCAAGAGATTTTCTAAAATTATTTTCGTTAAATTTCATTAACATTGAAAATCTTACTTAATAATTCGTCGCGGCGCTTTAAAAAGCGCGCGAAGCCTAAAATAGCATTTTGCGGGTTTTACAGTTATCTTTTACACAATCTACTTCTAGTACTTCTTTTTCTTTTGAAATTGTTCACTATGATGTTTGGGGTCCATCCCCTACCACGTCGCTATAAGGATTTCATTACTATGATTCTTTTATAGATGATTACACAAAATTCTGTTGGGTTTATCCTTTATTTCAGAAATATGAAGTTTTTCACAAATTTCTTGAATTTTATAACATGAACAAATGCCAATTAAACAAGCATATCAAAACTCTTAGAACTGATGGTGGAGGTGAATATCTTAACAAGCAATTTCAAATGTTTTGCAAACTATCTGGAATGTTACACCAATATACTTGTCCTTACACGCTAGCTCAAAATTGCATAGCGAAAAGAAAGCAGAGACATATTTTGGAAACCATTTGAAGTCTGTTGATTCACTCTCATGCCCAACACAGTTTGTGGGTCAAAGCTCTTTATACTGTTGTTCAGGTCATCAATATCCTCCCAACTCAAACTTTACACAATAAAATTCATATGAAACTCTTAATAACAAATCACCTACTTACACTCATCTCAAAACTTTCAGATGTCTTTGTTATCCATGGCTGAGGCCGTATTCAAAATCTAAACTTGTCTAAACTTGGTCCTTTGTCTAAACCATGTGTGTTTGTTGGGTATGCCACTTCTCAAAAAGGATGTCACTGTTTAGATCCTCTCACCAACAAAATTTACACTTCTCGTCATGTTATATTCATTGAGCAAGTTTTCCCCTATCATCAAATGCAACAACATCATAATCAACAGTCTGAACCAACAAGTTTACCTCCTCTTCTTTTGGTTCTCGTGTTAGCCATACCTGCACAAAACCATACTCCTCCAATTCGACATTCTACTCCTAATACTCCCAACCACACCAGTCAAAACACTTCACCAGCCCTACCACAAACAGCTCTCTTAGATTCGATCTGCAATCCTTATAACAGACACCTCGCACCAGTCTTCTTTACCAACTATTTCCACACATCATATGAAAATTCGATCCCAAACAGGTCATCTCAAACCCAAACAAATATTCAATCTTACACAACAAATCGTGTCGCAAGACCAACGTCTTACACACAAGCTTCCAAACATAAACATTGGCGTAGTGCTATGTCTTAGGAGTTCCACGCACTCCAATCACAAGGAACATGGGATCTGGTTTCTTACTCCCCAAATTAAAATATTCTTGATTGTAAATGGATGTTTCGAACAAAGTACAACTTAGATGGATCAATTGTACAGTACAAATCTCGACTTGTGGCTCTCGGTTACAAACATGAATACGAGTTGGATTATAATGAAACATTTAGTCTCGTTGCTAAAATACTAACTTTTTGAATTTTAATTGTACTTGCTTTACATAATGTTTGGCCTATTCATTAAATAGATGTATATAATGCTTTCTTGCACGGGTCATTACACGAAAATGTTTACATGAAACAACCATAGGGATTCCTCGATGAACTTCATCCTACGCATGTGTGTAAACTGAAAAAGGCTCTTTACGGTTTAAAGCAATCACTGTGACAATGGTTTGATACTCTTACAGGTTATCCACATACACTTGGCTTTCGCATAAGCAACTCAGATCCTTCACTAATGATATATCACAAGGATAAGGCTCAATTATACTTTCTTATATATGTTAATGACCTTATTGTGACGGGTAACAATCCCAAAGCTATACAAAACCTCTTCAACAATCTTCAAACTAGGTTTAATATGTGAAATCTTGGAACTCTGTCCCAATTTTTGGGTATTATTGTTGTAAAAACTGAATATTGGCTTCTACTTCATCAAAGTCGCTATGCTGAGACTATTCTCGACCGTACAAGCATGCTTAATTGCAAACATATTGCAACTCCCATAATCACTAAAGCTTAGAAGCTCACGAAGCTCACGGTTACGTCTACCACATTTTCAAACCCATTATTGTATCCTCAACAGGTTGGATCTCTTCAATATCTCACTCTCACAAGAACGAATATAACTTATGCTGTAAACCATGTCTATCAACATATGCATCATCCGACGGACAACAATTTTGAAGCACTTAAATGTATCCTTCGATTCATTAAAAGTTATATACATGTTGGTTTACCTCTTTCTCGTAAATATCTTTTGCTAATGTCTTATGTAGACTCGAATTGGGTTGGATATCAACATGATCGAAAATCCACAATTGGATATTGAGCCTTCTTTGGGTTCATCAATCCTGTCTTGGAGTGTAAATAAGCAAATTACAATCATCATATCATCTAAAGAGACAAAATATCGAGCTTTAGCATCCGCAGCAGCATAAATTATTTGGACTCATCAACTTCTTCAAGAACTTGGCTATACTCAACATGATCCAACAAAGCTATTTTGTGACAACACTTCAGCTATAGCGTTAGCTAACAATCCTATGTTTCATGCTCGTACTAAGCACATCAAAGTTGATTGTCACTTCATACAAGAGTGTATTAAGAACAAAACCATACAATTTCACCACATATCCAGCAAGGATCAACTAGCAGATCTATTTAACAAAGTTTTACCTAAACTCGATTTCTTCATCCTTCAAACAAACTGACTTCATCCAAATGACTCATCAGTTTTCAATGGGGTGTTAACATACAAGACCAAGTCAACGGAGAAAACGAACTATTGATTGTACCGTAGGTTTAGTTTATATCTGAGCCGTTCATGTATCTCATTTTGTGTATATATACCTTCATGTATCTTCTATTTGATTTAAGGAAATTCCATTCCATTTGTTCCTCGTTTTCCTTGTTTGCCTTCTACCTTTCGTTCCTTTGTCTCTTTCAACAGACCTTACTAGTAGGATAAAATGGGGAGCGGGCAAGTGACTTAACCTTTTGGGAGAATGGTGAAAGCGGGGAAGAAAGTAGAGAGAGCAGAGTGAAAATCTATAGAATACTAAGGAAACTATGAGTCTCAAAACTGGTTGAGTATCCCCTATATCCATCCAAAAAAGCTCCCAAATTGTTCCAATCACCCCTTATTTGTAGGTTCTAAGGGCTGCTTGATAGGCTACAAATGAAAAGGTACAAGGTAAATTGCTACACAAAATGGTTGTACAATACTACATACTATCCTAGACATATGTTGCCTTTTGATAAGCTCAAGGATAATGAGGTTAGAAGGCTTTGGTGAGTTGTCTCTGGGCAAGCTCAATGACGTTATGTAGATGTTGATAAATGTGCTTGGGCAAGTTTGTAGGCAAGCATTAATATTATAGGGGACCAGTAGTTGATGAATTGGTTGATATTGCAATTGAACTATGGAAGCTTTTGGATTGCCTGAGAAGAGAAGGCTGAGTGTGATACCATTGCAGGAATGTAGGCTCTGGCTAAGATTGTCGGGATTAGTCTAATTGATGGTCCCATGATTAGGAACTTTCATGTAGCTAAGATTGATGAGAATAGTTGTCCTAGGGGAGAGTAAGTGATTAAAGTGTGGCCAAGGTGTGTGGTGAGTCCCAAGGTGCTAACTCTAGAGAAAAATCCTCAATCTAATCCTTGATCTGCTCATGCAGGGCAAGGTCCTAAGACTTCTTAGGCTAGTGACACCTATTTATCATTTTAGGCAAGTTCTCCCAAAAGTTCCATGTGAGTTTCCTAAGTGCCCCCCTAGAAGGGAATGTCCCTTAGTCATGACACACCAACTATCAGATAGATACATAAAGGTTTATGCGAGTATATATTTAGTTCTCTGATTCACTTGGCCCTTTAATAGGTGGGTGATGCACAAGGACAAGTGAATAAAATGTAGACAAACATTAAATATGGCAACAAAATAGTAAATACGAAAAATAAAGATGAATTTATTACCCTATTTATCATAGTTTCGAAGATCGTGTTGACCTCACATTGATGACAATGATATGACACCATTTCTTGCTTTGATCTTTATAAATAGTGACCTTGCTAAGAAGGCTTTTCTTCGTTACAACAACAACATCAAGCCTTTATCCCACTTCGTGGGGTCGCCTACATGAATCCTTTTTCTCCATTGTGTCCTATTAAAAGTCAAATTCTCATTTAAATCTAATAAAGAAAGATCATTTCTAATATTTTTTAACCAAGTCTTTTTAGGTCTGCCTCTACCTTTCTTAACATTAATCAAATATAATACATATACTTTCCTAATCGGGTCATCAGAAGGCCACCGTTTTAGGTGACCAAACCATCTAAGGTGACTCTCTCTAATCTTATCTTCTACTGGAGCTACGCCAACCTTTTCACGTATATGCTCATTTCGTATCCTATCTCTAATGGTAAAGCCACTCATCCACCTAAGCATCCTCATCTCTGCCACACTTGGTATTATGCTTCTCTTTTAATGGCCAACATTCGCAGGCCTCACCACCATCTTATAAAATTTTCCCTTAAGTTTGAGGGGTGCTTTTCTTTGTTATTTATGTTAATTGATAACTTGAGAATTCTATGAGTCTTTGAGAAAATGGATCTCATGGAGATAGCTCCTTGCTTGAGGGCATCTAAGAATGTTTCTTCTCACTAGGGGTTTTATGGGGGCTTACAGTGAGCTAGTATGTGACTTGTTGAGTTTAAATTTTGCTTAAATTTTTTTTGACATAAAATTAATAAAAACTCATTAAAATATGCAAGTATACATTCGAAATCAATTAATAAAGTGATAGAGTAGAGTGTTGAACACACAAGAGTGTTTTGCAC